ACCATGCTCAAATTGTGCAAACTTAATTAACGGGTCAATTGAAAATGGCGACATAAATCTCATAGTAGTACGTTATAAATGAGCAGTGTAATGAGTGGCAAGGCATAGTACAGTATGAAAAAAAATGCTGTAAGTGGTGACGAACTGTGAAGCAATGATATTATATTATATTGAAGGAATTGAACTACAACCGGTAGTACACACAGCTACTATGTCTCTACGCATGTATAGTGTCTTATGAAAGGCAGGGTGAATGAGTAAGATAATTCTCTTAACGGCCCTAATTACGCAATCTTAGATGGATTTCACAATCTTGATCCAAATGACTGAGAAGCTACGCTAAATCTAGTGAAGTAGTATGTCATAGAGAAAAATGCATTGTAAGTAGCATTGTAGGGAAGAAGTAATGATGTGCGTCACAGTTACTTCAACACCATCCAAATGCTGCTTCTCACAGAACCGCCTCTTGTTCCCCCATACCCATAATCTATTGAAGCCAGAGTCAATTCAAAGGTTAATGCTTCTGCATTCATGGCTCTCTTTTGATTTCGGTATTTAGAATAGCATTTTGTCTCTTCTTTTTTCCTCTCTTCCCCTCTATACTTTTTTCTTTTTGCACCATTTTCTCTTTGTTTCTTGTCCCCTTCCTTTCATATATTATTTGGTAAAAATGAAAACACAACTTAAGTTTGGAGGTCACCTTTAAAGAAAGGAACTAGTTTCAGCTGTATTTTAGCGAAATATAAATAAATGTTCTACATTATGTAAATTAATGAAATCATAGAATATAGAAAAGGACTGATTCTTCGATTCTATGCAACCAAAGCCGAGACGATTCTAAGACGATTCTGAGACGATTCTTGGTCGGAATCGTCCTGGGTTTTGATGACTTTAATTCGATTCGATTCCGATTCTTCGATTCTGATGTGGATCCCTAGAAATATGTATGGTTGGTTTCAAGTACATTGATAATACGTAAAAATAGCTCGCGTTGCATGCATACAAAACCGATGTCGAAAAATATTTGTATCATGCATGCAGTTTTCATCAAAGTAGCCCTCCATAAGCAGCTTCTGAAAAAAGCCCCTGCATCGATCCTTGACACGCCGTCTAGGCATAGAACCACTACTGCCTTTGCATTCAGCGACAGTGCAAGAACACTGTTTATGTTTGTTCGCCAAACTCAAAGAGATCCATACTATTTACTCGAGATCTTGCTCTATTTCCTCATCGAGAACAATTGCTTGTTGAATGACTTCGTTGAATTTGAATAAGTAGTTTATGTCCATTTTTGAGATCAAGGAAAAGGAAATAATTCTGTCCTACACAGCTTGTGCCTTCTTTATTATAGTATGGCGTGAACTTTCAAGTTAACAGTTCTAAGTTACAATAGCCGCTGAAAATGTCCGGTATTGTAGCACTATAAGGAGTTTACAAGTCCTTAAATTTACAAGTTTTGTTACAGGCACTGCTGCGAGTACTCTCATAGTAGCATAGTGTTACACAAAATACTTAAAAAGGAAATTTCTCTTGATACTAATAATATTTATAAAGAATGATTTTTTATTTAAATTTATAAAGTTAAATATATTACATTTTATTATCCCGAATTAAATCCTATTACTAAAGTATAAATTGATGAACGCAAGTTTGGTAGATAAAAATATAATTAAGGTAGTCGTGTTGAAGGTATTTGGGTTTTTGGTATGATCAAAAACTGTAATAGCTGAGCTGGGAAGGTATTCTTAATAATCATGCCGGATCATACGGGTGATAGCCTATTGCCGCTTATCAAGCAGTATATGTGTCCTGGTACCACCATCATCTCAGATTGCCATGCACCATATATGTGCATAGGTGATATAGAGGACAGGCATTATGTACATCATGCTAGCAATCATAGTATAGGCTATGCCACCACTATTCATGCTCCTGGTATTTCTGGTAATGATGCTGCATTGTACAATATGAATATGATTGAAGGTAATAGTCAAATGTATTTATACTTCTTTCCTTTAATATATAATGTACTCTCTACTAACTGTAGTTAATATTAGGGTTTTGGGCAGTTGTTAAGTAACAAAACAGCTACCGCCACTACATAGTTTCTACTTGCCCATAGAGACTATTAGAATTTCTATGGCGTAGAAAGCATCGAGATGAGCTGTGGGGTGCCCTTTTATAAGGCCTTTCAGCAACTGAGTTCTCTTCTGAGAGACTTAGTGATGAGTATAGTGAATTTGTTTTAGACTCTCTCCCTACTAGGGTTCCAGGGGACTATACTTAGTATGAGCATCCAGCTCATAATGGCCCTTTTAATATAATGGAACTAGTCCCTAGCAGTAGAGAAGAAGAAGAGGAGAGCAATGATACTAGCACTGAATCAGATAATCTAGCAGGAGATTCTGATGATAGGTAATTATCTCTATTTATTTTCTATAACAATTCATACTCTTTTACTAATAAATAAAATCTACTTTAAAGTGAGTGGCTACCTCTGCTATCCAACAGGGAATAAGATCCAAGTGTGGTTACTGCTCAATAGGAGGAGCCACGATATAGGGTGATCCAATTGTCTCTCCTCAGAATGTTTCCTTCTTTCCCTAGTGATAATGACCTTGGTCTTTAGTTATACTGGATGCTTTTATATCGTGGACTAGATCACATCTAATTAATTTTCTGCAAATCCATAGGTTTTAATAGTTTTCAATTCTTCACATTTTTATAATCTTGCCTTAGTCCATATATTAATTACATAATTAAAGTTTTTTTTCCTTTAAATAATAAATATATGAAATTTTTGATTTTATCTAGTTAAACATAAATATAAATTAAAAATTGAAAAATAGAATTTAAAAAAAATAATTGTCATTCAAGTTTTAATAGAAATTATTTACTGTTTTAGATCTAAAAATAAAAAAAAAACAAAAACATTATATAAAACAATGGTATGCTTAAACAAATTTATTACATTTAACAAATTATTTTTAAAATATAGTCTAACAAATTAAATTACAAATATAATTGTTTTAGAATTTGATTCTTACCTTGATAAAAAAATTATTGAAAAATTTTATAATAAAATTAGTAGAAAGATTAATAATATATTTTATAATGATTTTTTTATAATGAAAACATAGCAAAGGATTATTGTACATATAAGCATAAAAATAGAAAAAATGAAGGCTATCTTTGTTACTAGAAAATAAATACTAATCTTCCTGATATCAAAAAAGTTTCTTATGTATTAGACATTCTATAAAGCATATACCTAAAAAAAGAAGAAAAATATATTAAAGGTTCACTTGAACATAATGTTCAACAAAATATTAATATTTTGCTAGATGAACCTAATATACAGAAAAATAATATAGAAATAAAACTTTTTAGAAAATCTAAAGAAATTAGAAAAATAAAGAAAAATAAAAAGTAAAAAGCTATTTATATTAGAAATGTTAGGCAATTAGATCTAAAGAGAATCATCAATAAATTATTAATAAAATAAATCTATTTTTAATATTATTATTTGAAAATATAAGATAGAGACTATATGATTTTCTTATTGAGAAACATTTTATATCATGATAAATAAATAGAGCTGCTTAAGCGACCAAATTTTTCCTTGCATAGACCAAATTTTTACATATAGGAGTTTAAACATCTGTTATACAGGTCCCCTCTACTATCTTCACTCCTTTAGTAGACCAAACTTCTCCCCACACCAATTTCAAATTTTCCTTACAATCTGTAATTCCTTATGTAGACCAAAAAAGGTAGAAGTATAATTCTTTGTGTAGACCAAAAAAAAATAATAGTGATAGCAAACACTCCATTACGACTTGTCAGCTGCAAATACAAACACTCGAGAATTTACTTGAAACATTACTACGCTAGCTACTTCTTTACAAGAGCTGTCTGAAATTTTACAGCAACATTGAAATGTATACATAGTAGAACCTAAGGATCTGTATCAGAACCGTAGAACCGGAACCGAACCGAACCAAAACCAAGAAAATACAGTTCGGTTCCTGTCAAGAACCGAACTGGAACCGAACCAGTTCTGTATAAGTAGAACCGAAGAACCGAGAGGCAGAAGATTGCAATAAGCGATTCTGGTAATTAGTATAAAGTAGGCTATAATGGAAGTTACGAACAATATTATTCTGAAAAGACCACGAAGTAGTGTATTTGCAAGCCATACTTTATTGAAAAACTTAACAAAACCTGCAAAAGCAGAAGGGAGGGAAAAATAGTAAAGAAGAGAAGAGAAAAAACACTTCTTCTGATGGCAGCTTGCTTTCTCTGCCCATGACGCACATTATTACTTGCTCCTCTACTTTGCTACCTACAATGCCTTTTTCTCTATGACGTACTACTTTACTAGATTTATTATGGCTTCTCGATCAGTTTTATCAAGTTTGTGCATTCCGTTTGAGATTGCGCATTCTGGGGCTCATAACAGAATTATCTTACCCATTCACCCTTTGCCTTTTATGAGACAGTATACACTATACACACGTAGAGACACAGCAGCTGTATGTACTGCCAGTTGTGGTTCAATTCCTCCAATGTTACGATAACATATTGTACTAGTAATACTAAGTCGCTCTAAGTGAGTACTATAAGCTCCACTTTTTTTTGTAAAAACTGTGCTTCAATCTTTTAACCATGCAATGACCCACATCGTATAAGAATGTTTACATTCTGTTTCTCTTATTTATTTTGAGATCGCTGTTCAATGTACAATAATAAACTATTCTTTTTTACTGCAGTATTCAAGTATACCGCGACATTTGAACACACACATCAGCTTTCATTTAAAAATACCGAATCTTGCCTTTTTTATATACATGATGGGTTCGGTTCTTCGGTTCGATTCTTCGGTTCTACGGTTCTCGTTGGTTCTAGTCAGTTCGGTTCTTGCTTTAGATGGTTCAGTTTGGTTCCCTTCAAGAACCGAACCAAACCGAACTGTACAGATCCTTAGTAGAACCTATGATATAATAACAATTATCTTTATATTTTATACCCTGGATACTATGGGTTTAAAGGCAAAAAAATAATCGCAAAAACACTCCAAGACATGCTGGTACACGAGATCGATGCTGCAAATGAGCACATCAAACCGATGGATACCCCGGAATATATAGACTCTGTTTTTGTTCCAGAGGTTGGTATGCGCCTAGTTAGGGAAGATCTTGAGCCGGCCGGTGAGACAGAAGATTGTGATTGTACCATTAGCCTAACAGAAGAACACAGTTTCCTTAGCAATATGGTGCCTTTTCACATGGAGCGTAGCGTTGACTACGGCTGTTTTAAATATCTAGATGACAATGACTCAGACAGTGAAGATTAGGGCAACTAATAGCATCATATACTTTGATGAATAAGCAGCAGAACCATACCTTATCTTCTCCAACATATCCCTATACACTTTCTCTTTTTTTCTCTTTCTTTATATTCTTCTAATAAAAAAAAGAAAAAGAAAAATGTTTAGAATAGAATGTCAAACCTGTGTAGTAAATGGCTACTACAAGGATATTATATCTCACGTATTAAACGTCACTACAAGGCAACTTAATAAAAGCTGGTCTACACAAAGAAGTATACTTTCACTTTTTTTTTAGTCTATGCAAAGAATTATAGATTGTAAGGAAAATCTAAAATTGGTGTAGGGAGAAGTTTGGTCTACCAAAGGAGTAAAGATAATAGAGGGGACCTGTGTAACGGATGTTTAAACTCCTATATGTAAAAAATTTGGTTGCTCGAGCAGCTCTGTTAATAAATAATGTCAAAAACTTTTGATAATTTATAGTTTTCCTTCAAGATTATAATATCAATTGAGATAATGATATGTAGCCTAGTGTCTATCCCTATATTATTATTTCATTATATTTCAATCTATTGTAGCTTTTTCTTTAATAATTCAGTCTTGTATATCATCTATGAATAAAATAGCTTAGTCTAGATATTTCTCTGTATTAGCTAGTGACATATAAGCAGTAAAAAGTGTAGAAAATTATTTACCCTACTTCAAGATTCAATTACTCCACGAACAATTACCGCTAAGCCACAAACATTCTACCGCTAAATAGCCTAACAACTTGGCTACTATGGTGCCAAATTTCATTTGTATAACGTCACGTGAATGCTAGGGAACCCCTATGTTCGTATATTAGGTAGTAACCCTCAGTACTTACTATATGTTACAACAATACAGTGAACCCCCGCTTTTTGCACCCCCGTTTATTGCAGATCCCCACTTATTGCAACTTTTTTGAGCAGATTCCCACTCAACACTTAGTAAAATTGCAGATTCCTCGGTTTTTGCAGATTGCAACTTGGAAATCGGGACCTGCAATTTCCCGCTTCAGCCTTATATATTGTATATTAATCTCAAGCTTCAGAGACAGTGAGACTCGAACCAGTGACAAAAGAGATACACTATTGTATTCTATTATTTAAGAGCTTTTAAACTAAATAAGGAAAGATGTGATTGCCAGCTTATCGATCCCACTTATGTAACATATTCACATTTTGCAGTTCCTCAGATTTTGCAACTTTTTTGACTGTATTCCCGCTGTTGCAAAAAGCGGGGGTTCACTGTATAATATAATACAATTATGCTGCTGTCAAATCTTACCTTCTACTTATTGCTTATGTGCTTGTTTATATATAGTCAACATATTCTAGTGCAGCAGAATTCTGTCGTAATTGTTTGTTGTCTGGCAAAAGTGTTGTGCCGCCAAAACAGAATAATTGAAGGCTAGTTAATTTTACTATGACATCCCTAATTAAAAAAAATATCTCATTTGATGCTACAATAAGCCCAACGGGGGGATCGAACCCCCAACCTTGAGATTAAGAGTCTCACGCTCTGCCAATTGAGCTAGCCGGGCTTTTGTTGTTTTGGCACGTTGTGTGTGCAATTTTGTGGCCTTATCCTTTTGGCAGACACTGGAGTTAAAACCCGATTTCAGAGTGCTTTTAGTGTACTCTGAAATTTTTCTTTCAATGTGCTTTCAGTGTGCTTTCAGTGAGAATTTACTTTCAGTGCGCTTTCAGAGCCGTAATACAGCAAATAAATTAAAAATTGGCTCCCCCACTAAAATCCTTCTCCCCCAAAACCATCTAGGATGACCCCTTTTTTACACCACCTGGACTGCTGTGCTTCTTCCCACTCTGAGACTTTTACTGCCACTATGCTTGTCTCCACCACTTTGCTTTCTTCTCCTTTTTTTTTATTTTTTTTGCCAATTACTAAATCAAAATTCTTCAACATTTTTATTTATTTGACCATCTATAAGTTGCTTGATTCGCCATTGCATTAGATTCCTTCAAAATGCTTTTCAAATCTGAAGCGATTTCTATAATTCAAAACTTGTTCTTTATTTTATTCTCTACTACAACTAAAGCAGCATGAAGCCAAAAAAGAAAAAGACCAAGACCTGACTTAGGGTATTATGCTTTTAAGAGTAGATTACTTTTATTTTTCGTGGTAAATATGTAAGAGCACAGCTATTGTCTATTTGAATAGGGGTAACAACAACACCGGAATGGAGCCTCCCCAAAGGAACGACACACTGCCACATATACAGTTCGATTTCTAAATGGTAGACGTCCATGCCTAGCATCTTAAACGACTCAAAGACTTGCGTATTTGGTCGTAGGTACTCAACAAAAGCAAAAACGAACTGGCAGAAATTACCATCGGTGGGACTGCGTAGGTTGTGGACAAAGAAATATAAAATGCGCCCAGGACGAACGATCGCTTCAGTATGAAACTGAGTACTTGGGCAAACGACTCGGACATAGGTGCTAGTATTGATGTGGCGAGACATTGCAGAAATGAATGTTTGGCCCAGGAGATTGACTTTGCAAATTTGTACAGGTGATCGCTGACCTGATTACCACTAGTGCTAGCAAGTGACACAAAATTCATATCTGGGAACATCGATTGGTAATACTCGACAAGACAGTGGTAGTGGCGCGTATCTATGTACACCTTTTTACCCATCTTGAGGGGAAGACATGATGGTGGCAGCGGCTCCCAACCAACTACACTTACTCCTGCGGCATAGTCGAAATCTGATTGATCCAAGAACGGCTGACAATTGTAATGCTCTTGCATGGCTTCTGATTGTGGCAGCAACAGCTCAGCAATCTGTCTGGCAATCGTGCTGTTGCCGCACCGCTCGACCACGACTCGTCGGACCATATCATCAGCGAACACGACACTCAAGAACTTCTTCATGTACGTAAGCTCGAAACAGTCTTTTTGGTTGGTGTACTGGTTCTTGATGATCTTGTTGAACCGCTCAAAGCTGAATACCTACATGTTATAGCAGCTGCCAAAATTGAGTACCATGTCACGAAGGTGAATATGCAAATGCATATTTGGCATGACTTGATCTCTAGAGTACAATCTTGAAAAGTCGTGGCCAAATTTGAGCAGTAGTTGGTAGGCTTCCTCGTTTTCGGCAATGGTGATGGATGGCTTACAGAGGAGACGTGCTGCTGTGACAAAGAGCAACCAGTGTGTCATCTTTTCTTCAAGCAATCTTCCCTTCAACAACGATGGCGAGAGTGCAATAGTCCACGACTTCCATTCATCCGACGTCATTCCAGTAAATCCAGTCGCAATACAGCTGCGAGCGATGCTGTATGATAGGGGCACCACCATCTTTTCGAGGCAACTCTCCATATCGGTCAAATGCTCCTTGGTCAAGGTTCCGTCATCTTTCCATATGGTGGCCATGCGCTTGGCTGTCCCACAGAACATGTTGTGCATACAGTCGACTATTGTCTGTGAAACGGGATCAAAGTATGGAAGACGATGCAACTCAGACCAGCGTGTTCTATTTGACTTCTCCAACTGTGTCCTTTCGGTAGCCGTTTTTGCTGCCTTCCAAGCTTTTGCGTCTGCCAAGTTCTTTTCCTTTGTCTGCAATCTCCAAGGAAAGTAAAAGTTGGAGTAATCGCACAGCTTTGGATTCTCTGATTGTGATAGCTAGGAAATGTCGCAATGGCTACATCTGTAGAATGAGTGTGGACCTGTAAACCTAGAAACCTTTCTTGAAGCTTGTATGTTGAATGAAACGAGCAATAGAGCTGCTCGCACTTTGACCAAGGAGCTGTCATCAATAACTATATCCTTGCCATGATATAAATGTAACAGATCGTCGACCATTGGACGCAAGAAATTATTGATTTGCTCTATCAATACAAAAAAAAAGAAAGGAAATCAGAACCACACATGCGAGACTCCAGAATCAACGAGCAAAAAGATAAGTAACAGTGTAATCAAATTGGTACCTTTAGAACTTTCATGGGGTCCCGGTGCTATACCGACTAATATGACATTTGATGACTTGAATCGTTCAGACCTTGGCAGGTTATTGATTGTCATATACAGTGCACCGACAGAATACGAAGTCTGCTTATCGAATGACTGGAACCAATCGACATTGAGCGTCAACATAAGTGAGTGCTGATTTCCGACACGTGCAACGAATGATACAGGATTTTCTGCCGTGGATTCTGGCGCCATTATCGACCACCATTTGCGACCATCGTATACATCATCCAAAGAATTTGGTCGTGGGGTTCGCTTCCTCCAGTGCTCGAGTTTTTCGCCGAATCCTGGTCTATGCATCATAATTGCAAGGCTTGCTGACACAGGATGATACGCATACACTTTGGGAGGTACAAGGTTTCTGTTTCTCAAATGAAACAAGTTCATGCCGCATGAGGCTCGGTGTGCTGTCATTGGATGGTGTGGAAACTTCTGGAACGAGCATTTCAAGTCGGTAGGTATATGTTCATTGGGATAGAGGCAGTGGCAGCTGGGACATACAACGATTGCTTGACCGCAATCCAAGAGCTCGTTAAGACCGGATAAGCGGCGTACAGTAGCCATTGACCGTGGGATACTGATTGGAATGTAGAGACCCGCAAAAACGACAGATAGAAAATGGAGGAGCAGCTCACCACCAGCCCTGCTCAAATAGCGATCTTGGAACAAGGCCAGGAAAAGGTAAAACATGATAATGAAGTCGGATGGTCGTGTAATATCTGTGTAGAACATAGTGTATGAGATACTAATAATTTGAATTTCGTCCTACTATCTTTAGTTTATACGAGAACATAAATTTACCATCGGTGTTTTCGTCCTCTTCTCCCTCAACAGTAATGTCGAATGTCGAAACTGATGGTGGCGGTTGCAGCAAGTCAATCGTGCTTGTAGCTTGGCCGCTGGTCTCACTCAAGCTTGAATCGAGCTCCATTGGTGTGGCTAATGGGTCAAATGGCAATAACGTTAATGGTCTGATCGTCGATACTAGCACCGAACAACCGAAGACGTTCCCACTCTGAAGACAAATGGCAACTTACAACTTTCGCCGGTGCTTGGCTGATCCGAATAGAGTAGCTGGAGGTTTGAACGACCTTCGCGCCATGCAGAAACTAGAAGGATGGCCATTTATGTATTAGGAACCATACAACAATATATACACAACAACATATACAGCAATATATATACGACAACATACACTTGGCTATTCCATGGTCGTGACGATGGCGACGTTCTGTTCGTGCTGACACAAGCTTACAGTGCGAGTCGTTTGAAACGAAACAACTGTCGCAATGACACAGTACGGCTCTGTTTGGATCCAGTGTAAGTGATGGAAGCGTGGGGGGAGTTGACATAATGAAGGTACTTGAAAAAAAATGGTTATATGATCCAAAGACTTATTTTATCCAGCTTATATATAGTCGAAGCAGAAAACTTATGCAGAAAGTACTTGGAAGCTATTATTGCTTTGGACTTTGGACGGATGAGGATGTTATATTTATTGTTGGAAATGCACAGCAATGCCGGTGTGGATGTGTAGTCGTTGTTGGTAAATGCTACTATGCAGGTAGAGTAAACACCGCTGTTTCTGAAGTGCGTTTAATTTTTCACGCCCATCTTCATGTAGAACAGTAAGTTACAGATGAATTTTTTGCAGGTACAATTATCTTACACAGCAACTAGAGGGTAACAACATTTTTTTCATGAAAGAATGAAATAAAAAACAGCTGCTCACAGCTGGATTGATAGTGTTTTTTCTATTATAATGTGATGGCGCGAACTGATGGAAAAACCAGGATGTGCATATTCCACGTCCCATTGTGTAATGGTAGCTGCATGACGCTTACAGCAGCGAACGAAAAGAATAGGAAATGCACATGCACGAACAAGGCTTTGACCTAGTTGATATATATTACAGCGGGCAGCATCTGGATTTGGTAACTTTGTCTATGCATGTTTTTTTTCTCCCGCACAATAAGATATGTATACTTTTGCCTTCAATACGACGGATGATAAATGATGGGTAATATACAGCGGACAGCATCTCGATTTGGTATTGTTTCTTTGCTTGTTTTATCGTTGTCCCTACACTAACATATCCTATCTTTCTTATGCATGACTTTGGCTTTAGTAATAGATAGCGTACAGCAGGCAGCATCTCTTTTTGGTATATATAATTTTCTCTCTTTCCTCCAAGCATCTATGTATTCTGTCATGTACTACGCACTCATGGATGTTATACAACAGACATGCCCCGAATCTGACAATGCTGTCTCACTTACTTCAAAGCAAAACTATATCTGCATCATATAGCTAAGAAAGAGAAACAACAAATACCATCCTCGCGCGATTAGGTGCATCCCTGTCTATGATATATGTCTACTTTTCCTGAGACTTGTTTACAGATTTTACACATCAAGGCATATCATGCAAAAGTGTTCCGGATGGCCTGTACCGAATAGCTCATTCAGAGAACGGACATCTAACTTATTTGGCCAAGACTTCTATCTAGTAGAGAGCTTGGTAACTTGGTGTCTGAATCATCCA